ACGTGTTTCACTTCATCTTAAGGTGAAGTGAAACCCCCTTCAAATCAGTCGATTCGAATACAACACTTTTTTTTAAGGGTATTAAATCAAATTGTCCGAATCTTTGACACATCACTCTTGATCGTCTAAGAATTGTCCTGACATATTCAAAATTTGGATTTTTGACAAAACTTTTTAAACAGCCCGAGAGAGGATCATATCCTTCGTGTCGATTGAAATCCACCTTAACTTTTTCAGACTCACCATTTCGAACGACCGATTTCCAAAAATCGGGTACACCGTGAAATAAGAAAAAAAAGTTGAGTGGTTTTCATGTTCCTCGCCTCCGCCATTATAAAATATTATAACTCTCCTTTTATCCTCAGTTTTCTTTAAAACGTGAAGTAGAACAGCACCGCAATATTTCCTGTACCTTTTAATCTTCTTTCAAACTCACTTTGATTAAAACGGGTTTCACAACGGAGTAACCCTCTTAAGCGTCGAACATTTATACGCAGTTGTAATAAGTGACACGCTAGCGAGTGCATTACTCGCGGCCATTTTTTTCAAGTCCTAACGTGGCCAAGCCGAGGGAAGACTACGACCACGAGGAGTAATTATTTTTCAGCGGGGTTGTCGGGGGAAAAAAAAGGAAACGTCAACCCTCGGTTCACAGTCCACCCTCTCGGTCGGAGGGTAAAGAGAGTACCGATGGGTGTAACGTGGGAAGTTTAGCCGGGGATTTCTTTTTGACAACGCCGAGGTTCCTCCCTCTGTCTCTCCTTCGTCCTTTTGGTCGTATTTCGAATGTCCAGTTCCCAAAGGTGGGACTGTGGATAATGAGGGATAACGCCCTTCTCCATCTGCCGCGGGAAGGACGCAACGTTTAGCACGTTTAATCGCTAACTGCGCCGGATTTCCCAGAGGCGGGAATGACACTCGGTGCAGGTGAAAAAGGGAAGAAAGAAAGGAAGAAAGCCGAGCCGGTGTCGGGGATGTGGAGAAACGGGGAAAGCGACAAAGAGAGAAAGAGGGAAATCTCAATCACCACGGCGAGTTGACTTTCCTCGGACTTGCGGCGTGGTTCGGCGCACGCCCCTGGGGAGTCGGTAATTGGCACCTTCCACGTTTTCAGGTACCATTGTACGATCTCGTATTGTTGTCGTGACGTCATTTTGTCTGAACAAATGCGAACATCCATGCGAGCGAGGCACCCGTACATCGCAATGTGAATCATCGGACATGCACTGATTTTGGATTTTTAGGGGCTAAATGCAGAACAATGCGTGGCCCTTTCATTTCTTGCCGATCGATGTAAAGTGTCATGGGCTAATGGTTGCTGATTCCTCATTTCGTGATAAAGTTAATTGCAACGACGTGCACGGAGAAAAATAAGAGCCTTAAAGTTACATCTGTTGGAAATTGTTGATTTTTACGGGCTAAATGCAGAACAATGCGTGGCCCTTTTATTTCTTTCCGATCGGTGTGAAGTGTCATGGGCTAATGGTTGCTGATTCCTCATTTCCTGATAAAATTAATTGCAACGATGTGCACGGAGAAAAATAAGAGCCTGAAAGTTACATCTGCTGGAAATTGTTGATTTTTAGGGGCTAAATGCAGAACAAGTGTGGCCCTTTCATTTCTTGCCGATCGATGTAAAGTGTCATGGGCTAATGATTGCAGATTCCTCATTTCGTGATAAAATTAATTGCAACGACGTGCACGGAGAAAAATAAGAGCCATAAAGTTACATCTGTTGGAAATTATTGTTCGCGATACGGTTAAAAACCGTCCCATTAACGAATTAATCTATGTAATTTTACTTCCTTACGCGTACAGTTAGCAGAAACATTTCTGTAAAAGTCAGCTGTAACTATAGCTGAAAATGTCTGTTAATATTAATATGATGAAACTGGGACGTTTGAAGTGTTATAAAATTGTAGGTGCAATGAAAAATATCTGTAGACATTACAGATTCGATCCGTTCAGTTCATTTTCTTTTCAGATAGATTGAAAATATTTGCCAGCGTTACTGAAGAAATCTGCAAATTTAATAGATTCAACAGGTTATGGGTAACAGATATTTATCCGTAACCCTTTCAAATACTTATATGTAATTGTTATAGATATTTATCTCCAATTTTTAACGGATTTGAGCAACAAAAGCTTTATCGTAACGCTAACAGAAATAATCTGCTGTCCTTATTTCAACGGATAAAATCTGCACATCTTACAGATCATTCTGTAAGTTTAACATATTTTATTTCTCCGTGTGTGGCCTTTCAATTAATTACCAATTATTTTCCAGCGTTACGAGCTGACGATAACTGGTACATTTTTTATGACAATAGAAATTAAGGAAATTCATGACCCTAATATTTGACGATTCTCGAATAACGCAATGGGCTGTTGGTACTTTATTCGTATCTCCGTGATGAGAAAAAAAAATAGGATGAAACATTGGCCCGACAGATTAAACGAATGGAAATTCGTCGATAAGCTTTTGGCAAGGGTGAACGTAGGACCGTTCCGAAGGACTACGATCCACGCTTGTTTTCAGCCCGTAAACGGATTAAACTTTTACCTGGTTAGTTTACGCGCGTAATACAGTTCCACTCTATCCCCGGCGTGCGATATGATTAGCCTCCCGCTTATGCGCTTACACCCCCTCGAAGTTCAGCCCTCGTACTTCATAGACCGCGTTCCATTCTCCGCCTGGCGGCGGGGCCGACAGGCGGGGATGTGATTGCGGTTAAACTTGAGAAATTTTTAAACAGTATTACCGTGACTCGCGGTTCTCGGTAATTTCGCGCTAAGCCGGTTAGCAATTGTCCCGGCGGTGCGAGGTGTCGGCCCGCGGAGGGTGGGTCGACGGGGGGACAGTTGGACCGCGACAATAAGGGAATCGAGGGTGGCGGGCGTCCCGGTGAAAGTATCGTCGCCCGACCACCCCCCGAAGAGACGCCCCGCCCGGTCAATTTCTCCCCGGCGGCCAGCCCCGCAGAAATTGTCCAGGAACCTCCCCTTACTCGCGCCCGAAGAGTGGGACGATTCTTTCGCGACCCGACTGGTTCTTATCGGCAGTGATTACGAGTTTTTAACGGGGATTTCCTGCGCCTTATCTGCGCGCCCCTTCGCGCCCCTCCCTTAAGCCCACCTTCGACATTTTCACGGCTGTAACTGGATTCCTCTCGCACCCCCTTTGCCGTTCGTTCGCGAGCGCGCGCGCGCGGGAAATCGATTTGCATGTGAAAGAATGCCATCGGCGCCTATCGGTTATCGATGCTATTTTTTCTCGCCCCACCCCCACACTCCTCGGTGCCCCTTCGTCTTCCGCGCGACGCCCCTAACGGCCGCCCGTCTGTCTCACCTAAAGGGCGCAGGGCCCCCCTCGTCCGCATTCCGAGTCGGCACTCCGGGGGTGCCGGGGCACCGGGTTATTTCGCAATCGGCCAATTCCGGAAGAGCCAATTTGTAACTTCATGATCGAACGCCCGGCGTTCCTTTCGGATCGGGGTTTCACTTCGCTTCCTCGCTTTAGGGGAGGCTTTGTCATGGTAAACGTTTCCTTTATGACGCGCGGTGGGGGTGGTTCGAGGTAAAGATCGATCCTCGATCCTCGATCCCCGATATTTTGATAAATGTCGCGTTAATCTTATGGGGTACCTATTGAGGTGAAATACCCACTTTTCTGACAGATACCAGGAAAAATTATATGCGGCACGTAAATACAGTTTAAACGTGTTATTAGACATATTTTTGGGTACATATCATTTCACGTAAAAAAAATTGTTATGAACCATTCTTTAAACAATGCCATTTGTCAAGCTTTGTCGGAAGATATCTCGAAAAGTAGCATACTTCATATTCTACGCACGTATTGATAGCATATGTGGCCGACAACTATGTAGAAGCAATATTACTCCTTTTCTTATCAATTAATATTTGTTTGCCAATTTCTCCATGCTTTGATAAAATAACTATTTAAAATTTTTATTTAATGCTATCGAAAATGAACTGGTTTAAACTGTATTTAAATATTGCATTTCATTTCTTTTCTGTACCTTTTGAAGAATGGGTAATTTGAACATGTCAAGTAGGTAGGGGTCCCTTAGGATGTCGGTATTGTTAATTATTCCCAATAATCGATCGATAACCAAAGTACGTACGATTACGTTATGCGCGTAGTCTGGTGCATTGAATAATCTAACACTGATTAGCTTGAATCAAGGTAAAGGCTTGAGCGAGAACATAAATGGTACATGGAATTTGCACATTTTATGTCGATAACTACACTGTTAAAAAAAATGCATACACTTTTAGTACTCAAGGTTGCAGTAAAATTATAAATTTGATGTCTTAATAGTGAATTAATATACATGTAAATTTAGTACATATGTGTAATAAATTTAACATATGTTCCGGACACGTTTGAGGACGATTTTAGACTGCTATACTTTAAACATCGAAAAAAAACTTTTTAAAATTATCGTGGCATGTTGCTAATGGAGTTTTCTATTGATTATAAGAATTTTGTAAAAATATTATTTAAATATTTCTCGGATTCAAGAATGTCGCTACAATGCTTCTCCGCCAGTACCTCCGATACTTGTCATCTTTCAATTCAATTTGTTCAAAAATGAACTTATGTAAACGATCATAAAATTAAAAACTCGTCCAAAAAATGTGCCAACAATGCGTACTAAATAACTTTCGAATATCAAATCTATAATTTTTCTCCGCAATTTTACAAAATTACGACACGGTGTTATAAAATTGTAACTTTACTTAGAATTTTATAATAATTGTATACTAATTCACTGTTAAGACCTGAAATTCATATTTATACTGCAACCTTATGTGCTAAAAGTGTATGAATTTTATGAATTTTTTTAACAGGATATTTAATGAGCCAACCCTCATCTGTTTTCTATTCATAATTAATATCTTGTGAATCACGATTCTCGCGCTAATATGTTGTTTCAAATATATAAAACGAGGTGAATAATTTATGATTGCAGTGCCGCCCAATATCGACGACACGCGCACCTCGTCGGATGCAATAGTAAGGGAGGGGACAAACGTGTCTTTAACGTGCAAGGCCACCGGAAGTCCGGCGCCCAGCATCTCCTGGAAAAGAGATGATCACTCGAAGATCTCAATCAATAAGACCCTACTAGGTGAGTAATTGACTTATCAATCCGGGAGGTTCCTGTGATTTTGCTCAAAAGTCATGACGAAGATTTCCTGACGTGAGGAAAAAAATAACGGGCCATCGGGTCCCTTTATTTTTTGGGAAATGAAAAAGGGTAAAGTAAAAGTAGATACGAGTTAAAAATTTCGAAACTTTGGAATATATTCAAATTTTAGACGAAGCAAGTAAAGTCGATGTCATAAGCTCATTATGCATTCGGTACTAAAACGGTAAATGTCAGAATACAATTTTTACTGCTTAATAATGGAGTCATTTTGACGGTTTTAGGGAGACGGATAAGCCCGTTGTGGAGTAATTTTCGGTGTCAGCGTTTACGGCTAGGGCACGATACTGTTAACAGTTTTACGCACTGCTGATCAAATCCGCTAACGCTTAATAAAACCGCACCTCGAAAAGGTTTCACATGGTTGATGGGCTATGCCGACGTTATGTTTTCCCCCGTTGCGTATCAGAGTTGAAAAAACACTCCGTCCATTAGCGAGACAGGGTGGAACCGTTTGCACGGGATTAATTGTAAATCAATTTGGGCTTGAATTTAATTTTCTAATACATCGTAGAAAAATCTATATCGGTATAAGAAGAAGAACATGCTGTCACTGACGATTCGGGATATGGATCTTTCGACAAAGACGAGTCTTTTGATTACCGGCATTGTCGACCTGATAAAGTTAAATGTCGCTGTCATGTGCTCCATTCAGACTACCTTCGCCATCCGAATACTTCAAATCAGAACTCGACCAACTCGAGTTTATCGAATTGCCAGTGACAATAATGCATTGATGACTCGAAACAGAACGCGCGAAAAACGAAGTTGCAAACAAATTCGGTTGATTACAATTACTATTGTCGTTCGTTTATCGGGAGGATGGCCGAGCCGAGGATCACGGTCGTATCGGTGAATGTTAAATATTTTTAGCTGACCTTTTTAAATTTCGTTTCGGAAATTCTATTTATTAAAATGATTGTTCTTTTTCAGTCGACGAGTGGCACGGCGAGACGCTGGAAATGTCGCGAATCTCCAGACTCGACATGGGAACGTACCTCTGCCTTGCCAGTAATGGCATTCCTCCTGGTGTCAGCAAGCAAATCAAAGTGTCGGTCGACTGTGAGTACTCAACAATTGTATAAATATTAATAAGCCTTCCCAAAAACGATTTACATCGGTCACATTCGAGCGTGCTGAAATTTGCAAGTGCACGAGGCATCGATGCCATCGCACATGATGGTGATTACAAGTTACATGTTAATTATAAGCATACCGTCGGTACATGTCCAATTAATTTACTGGAGTACATGTAAAGTAACACAGAAAAAAATATGAAACGGTCTTGTTTAAAACTAATAATAATTCTCCAATTTCAAAAGTCACTTCTAAGACAGTACGTTTTTGTGGGAATAAATTGGCCGGTTTTATCGCGTTAATAAATAATCTCGTATTAAATATCCGTATTCACGTCGATATACAAAATATTTCCTAAATACGGTAGGACGCCGTTGAAGGTTCTATTATTAATTTGGCCTGTTACGATCTATCCGCCGTCTAATTAGCGCAAGTGACCGATGTAACTCGATTTCCCGTTCGCAACTCACCGGGATGTCACTTATTGTTAGTCTCACTTACACCGAGAAATAAGTACGTGTAGAGATGCTGGCATCGACCTCATCGAGGGTGCTGAGCAGACGGATTAATTACTCATTCGGATGCATAATGGGGTGCACATAAAGTCCACTCGCGAATATAAAAGAAACCCGCTGCTATGCGTGCCTATTAACCGGCATTTATCATTTACGACTCATCTGGATATCTCTATTGTTAAGTGAAACAATCCGCGTGGAGAAACTGGAAAACGGACGTTCCGTGACTTTAGTTCCACGAACTCCGCCATAAATGCATATTCGTTACCCATTTGGATTAAAGTACGGTAACTGTATAAATGGATATACCCTTAATAACGCGAATGTGCCGGGAAACCGACTTGCGAATATCGTGGAAACGCCCGGGACGTCCCTTCTAGATTCAAACTTCCTGCGAACGTAACAAGGATATGGTGCGCTGGAGTGGAGAACAATAGGTGACATTAAATAAATTCGTTCCGAGTTTGAAATGATGTATTTGGAACGTTTTACAGAAAAGTTTAACCAGTTAGCTATTTTTGACGAGTATACTCGTCGTGAAGACCCGCACTGACGAAAATCGATGGAAATTTACATACAATTTTGCATACTTCATAACTTAGGTTTCACATAGAAAATCGTAAAATGGAAGGATTACAAATTATAAGATGTATAAATACACCTAACATTGTATGTTTACCTTATTGGTGCATTATCTCTTGAATTTAATGTAATGTTACATTATAATTATCTATAAATTAACTCAGATGCTGAATGTGATATTATAGAGACAATGTAATTTTACTGAGATTTATCGTGGTATCAAAATAATCAATGACTGACAAGGAAGGTATCCCAGGTCGATCTCTCCGATTGGATTTATTTTATATGTTATAGTAGATTAAAAACTAAGCGTCACGTATTTTTTTTTATCTGCTTAAACACCTTAAGGGGGTGAAACCACCATCCAAAGTAAGGCCTGTGAGGGGTGGCTCACCCCTTAATTTTGTTTTTTTCATTGAGAAAATTATATTTTTCATTTCTTGTTACGAGAAAGCTTTTCCAGGTGGATTGGTTAAAAAATATTATGTTCTTGTGAGTGAAACTGTCAAATCGCCCCTTGACATGCCTTACTTTGGATGGTGGTTTCACCCCCTTAAAGTGTTTATTGGCAGATAAAAAAAAATACGTGTCGCTTAGTTTTTAATCTACTATAACATATTATATAGGAAATCAAACCGGAGAGGTCGACCTGGGATACCTTCCTTGTATGTAAATTTACATGGACATTTTTATCAGTGCACGTTTCAAATAGGTCGCAACAGCTGACTCGTTAAAGGACTCGATTTGAAGACTGGGACTAATCTGAATAATAATTTAAATCACGTTAAACGGCCGACTCGAAGTCGAGTTTATCGATTCTTACTCCACCTTAACGAGGGTGCGTTCTCGCGACGATGATAACCCGCCGATCCGCGGTCGATGCTCATCCCGATCCACGGGGGCGAGTAGAAATCGGATTTTCGCATTAATTTCGCGCAACAGTGGAGGCGTCTCGCATGACAAATGAAATTCGAGGTATGAATGGTGCTCAGGGGTGGTGACTGCACGAGGGACGGAGGTAAGGGGTCGAGGTACACACAATTTAATAATGGAGAAAGATGCCCGCCGACAAAGCAGGATTTCTCTCCCCCCTTTCACTCTCGCACCTGCCTTTATCCACTTTCCTAGCGGATGCGATCTCGGCAAAGAAGAGACATCGCGAGAGTCGGTCGGCAAAGGTGGCTGATAGAAAGCACAGAAAGCGCGTAACACCTCTCACAAGGTGTGACCGCGAAACAAAGACAACGCATGGTTATCATGGTTTTTTTGTAATATTGGGATAGCAGACCGTGGAAGAGCACGAGAGCTGAAGATCTTAAATTTGAGGTCGAAGGTGACGAGCAAACGTAAGATCGGAACCAGGACTATGCTAATCATAATCTTAGATTTATATTAATGATCAGGTGTTGGGCTTGGTCTTGTATGTAGGATAAAATGTATTAAGAGTAAAAGGCCAAGACCAAGTCCGATTTTGCTCATCATCACTACCAGGTCCGATGTCCCGAGTTCTAAATTGCAAATCTGGAGCCCTGGGTTTAGAGTCCCAGCTCCAAAGTCTCGGAGTCAATGTACCCACTACCCTTTTCTCTTTTGTCCCTATCCTTATCCGCTTCCCTCGCAAATGAGATTTCGGTAAAAAGACTCCGCGAGAGTCGTTTGCTAAAGATGGAGAATGTCATGTTCTTATCGCGTTGTAACACTTTGATGGTCTCTGGTCCCAAATCCAATATCTCAAATTCGAGGTCGCAGGTCCGAGGTCCTAAATGCGAAATCCCAAATCCCAAGTCCGAGGTCCCGGATCTGATGTCTCAAGTTTGAGGCTATAAATCGGAGGGCCGAGATACCATGTCCCAAGTTCGAGGTCGCAAGTCCGAGATATCAGATCCGAAGTCTCGAGCTGGAGGTCATAGGTCCGAGGTTCCTGATTCGACGTTCCAAGGTTCCGGATCGGATATCCCAATTTCGAAGTCTCAAATCTAGGGTCTCGAGTTTGAGATCGCAAGTCAGAAGGCCCAGATACGAGGATATCGGTCCATGGTCCCAGCATCCCGGTCCTAGGATATCAGAGTACTCTGTCCCAGGCGGAGGTCCTTCCTGCCTCTGGAAGGACAGCTCCTTCCCTCTTCCAGTCCTCCGCCCTTCCCGCGGAGGGCGGCCGGTAATTTCGTCTCGGTGGCTTAACGCCGCCTTTGTCTGCCGTCAATTTGTCCGGCGGTGCTGACGCCTTCCTTTCCCAGAGGCCTGGGTCCTCCCTCAATGGCCGAGCCGCCCTCAAAAGGGCCGATTCCCCGGCGCCGCGGAAGCGCCTCGACGGCCTCCGCTTCCGGCCCCGACGTTACAACGGAACCTCCACCCCGCTTGCCTCCCGGGGGAGGGCTCGCCCGATTAACGCGGTCGCGCTAAGCGGCCGAGTAATGAATTAATTAACGCGAATGCCCCCTACGTGCCGCGATTCGACCCCCGAAGCGGCCGCCGGGGTGCGCTTTTAATTTCTCCTTGCGAGCTCCCGTCCCGTTGCCGGCGCGGATAACGGGGGTGGAGCGGCTTCTTCGCCCCCGCAGGGGTGGGTGTCGACCCTCTCTCTCGCTCCCTTAGGGCGGGAATGCGTCGCGAACGACGTTGTCAGTCGCACGTCCGGATTGCGCCACTCGCTCCTTGCGAAATCAATTAAGGAGTTAACTTTCTTAATGGACGACCCCGGTGCCTCAGGGGTGGGTTTAATCTCTGCTGAATTCGGCTTTTTGCGCCCGATGCAGGTGAGTTGTTCTCGATTCGAGTTAAGCATGGGCTTTTGAATCTTTTCTAGCTGCGCAGGGCATAAACAATCCAAAGAATGGACTTCATGAGTGAGCTTGCGTAGGAACGAATCGCTAACTACTTTCCAAAAATGGATATCATGGATAAATATTTAATTAAATAGGAGCCTTCTGGGGGTTCCCCCCTCCCCTCCAGGGTGAAAAACGGGATACAATTACATTGATTTATATATGTAAAATAATCGACCTTGGCCTATCAAACTTGTTTTACCGAGTATCTTTAGTCGGTATTTAAAAAATTAAGATCGCTAAATATAGCATCATGCTTTGCAGCGCCCAGACGTGTAAGACATGAAACGTGATCTATATAGAAATATAGATAATAAATTAATAAATACATAAAGACATCGATGATCTTTTGCCGAATAACCGGGAGGCGTTAGCCCTGTAGTACTCGACGAAGGTATTACTCTTACCCCCTAACGGCGTTAACCAGCCCTCACGGAATGGCGAACAGTTCCTCGAGTTGAAAACTTACCACCCCAAATGTATGCGGACACGTCCGAATTAAAGATTCCCTAACTCCCGGATAATTTGATTCATGAGCGAGCGAACGTCTCGAAACTCCGGGTTAAAGTAGATTCCACGAGAAGACGCAAACCGAATCACCGGGGGTAAGTTTTCTTAAGAGTTAACGCGGTACGTCCAACCTATCCACAACGAAGGAAATTCGAAACTCGCGGCCCCGTACGATTTTCCAGCTTGCCGCGGATCAGGGAAATGAAAAAAAAGCAAATTTCCCCGAAATTTCCCACGCGCTCGCGACATCCCTATCCCGGCACCGGACGGTTTCCCCGCATCCTCGACCGAAAAGGGCTCCGATTTATCAGGATTCGAGTTGATGCCCATTGAGCCCGGCTCCCGAGGCAAATCTCCCGGATCTCGGGGGTGACTTTATCGTCCCCTGAAGGAGGCGAGAAGAGCCCGCAACTATTCGAGGGTGGGGCCTCCCGGGCGGGCGATAAAGGGCGCGAATCGTCGAATTAAAGCGGATCATTTCGGCGGGCCCTATATTTTCATGTTTTTATGTGTCGCGAAGATTAATTAAACGCGCGGACAGATTACCCCCGAC